AAACTGTACTTTTGAGGTTAAACAAATGTTCATAATTAATTTAAATAAGTTACAAGTTAAAAGGGACATGGAAATTTCTCTTTTTTGTATCGAAAAAACATCGAACCGTGAGACTAAAGTATCGAACCGAACCGTGAATTTTCTGTATCGTTGCAGCCCTGGTAAAAACCTAAATGTGACTCACTTGCTCGTTAAGACAGGTAAGCAGTCGAGCAGCACACCTGGGTCTTGTATTCTGAAAGAAAAACAGAACTGAAGATGACGCRGGTTGTAAGAGAAATATCTGCAATTATTAGAGGTCATTCAAGTTTTCAACCTTATTAAGTAGGACACCAATTCACTGGCGTTCCTYCTCCATAACGTCAGAGCAACTTTCAGCCGAAGATCTCTTCCGAACAGGATACGAGTCATGGCTTCGTGTTCTTTGGACAACTGCTCCAGAAGAAAACAAACAACGCTAAAAACATTTTCCACGACAAACAAAACAAAGCGAGCGTGGAGGATGTTTTGGAAGGAGGCGACAGCTCCAGCTCCCTCCCCCACCTCGGTGAAGTCGCTGTACTTGGAGCTGGCTGCCGCCATCTTGGAAGCCTCGGCAGGGTTCACGGGCGGCCCGCGGCCGTCATAGCAGCGAACGCCCCGCACGTCACCGGAGCACGTCAGCTCGTTTTCCTTGTTGGCCATGCCGGGCTCACGGGGACGCCCCACATTTGACRATCTGCGGTGCAGCTTGGCACCCACCTCCGCTGACGAACAACTCTTCCTCTTGTGAGACGACGGCCGCTTGGCTTTCCCCGGACTCTGCGCTCTGTGGTGCACCTGAGATCTGCCCGAGGCCAGGAAGACGGACAACAACAGCAGTTTAGAGACTTAYATCATTTAAAAGAGGTTTACATGGTGATAATGCTCATGGAGTGATGAATGCTCCAGTGGCTGAGAGGCGACTGTGGGACAGTGAGTGATCACACCTGGATGAACCCCACAAATGTTTAAAGACTCACCTGTCTTTACCTAAATCTTCCTTATTTATATTATCCACCTAAAACAAAAGGATAGGGGATGAGGCCACTAACACAGTCTTCACTATAATACCACTGAACTTCACCATCACCAGAACTTAACACAGAAATACTTGATGTAAACTTTACTTCCTGTACATTTACCTTCATGCCTGCTTCATGTTCTGTTCAGTAGAAACATGCAAACAGGACCGCTGGAAGCCACTGGTTTTATCAAACACTTTCCAAACATGTTTACCAGCTGCTGGAAGACAGGACACTGCTGGGAAAAATGGGACAATTATTGATAGCAAAACTCTGGCTTSGTTTCCTGGAGAGCTAACATGTTGGCTAACTTTTAACTGCACTTATCTGCGGCGCRGCAGAGCGGTTCAAGCAGATAAACACACTAATAAAGGACGTGTTGAATTTAAAATAGGCGTTGGCCGCTTTTTGGGACCAATAATCACTCATGCTAGCTAAAGTTATGAACTTTCAGCTAACATTAATCCGACTTTAAAATGAGCGCATTCCGTAGCTAAAAGTTAGCTCACGCGGCATTCCTGCAAACAATTATTTTTAGCCTCAACTAATAGCATTTAGCTCAATAATGAAGAAAACACGAAAGCAACTAGCAAGGCCGCGCTAACAGGTTAGCYTTCCACATATAGCATATGTGCTTCACGACAGGTAACGCAGATAAAATGTAATTATTTTTACAGTGAATACAAACCGGCTCATTTTGTAAAGAGGAACAAGGTCGCCGAAGGGCTGTGAATCCCAAAACGGGAAAAACGAGTTGAAACTGGAGCACAAACAGCGCGACACCGTCCTGTGTTAGCCTTTCACCGTTTTACCGTTCAAACGAACACAAACCACCGGTGTGTCTGAGGACTGCGGGATTGATTCAAACGAAGGAAAAAAYWMAGTTTTTCTGTAGTTTTAGCGACGCCTGGCGGACATTACGGAGCATGAGTTTTATTGACTCTGCTCTGGCGCCATCTAGTGTCAAATATTAGATACTGCAGTTGTTGAAATGAGATTACAGCACACAATACTGTGTATATACAGTACATATTACACAGTCTGTCTTTAAACGTGAATATTTAGTGTGTGTGTGTGTGTGTGTGTGTGTGTGTGTGTGTGTGTGTGTGTGTGTGTGTGTAGTTTTAGCGACGCCTGGCGGACATTACGGA